TATTGTACAAGGTGTGTCACCCATATGTTGGAGGAATCAATCACTGAAAGGGTCATCAAGAACCAGGAAGTCGGTTAATTAGTAACCAAAAAAACAAACCCGCTGATAACTATCAGATTGTCCTGGCTCCATCACATAAACAGTAATGAATGGCACATTGTGTAGACAGATTTTAAGTTAAAGGCAAAAACTGTGGCAAGAAGAATTAACAAACGTAAAGATATCCATTGGTATGGGGGGAACAGCGAACATGTTTTAAAATGAAGTTGGCAGTGCTGTTTAGAGAACTGTCTGAGGGGTGATTCATCGGTCCAACACAACTGTATATATTTCTTATCCTCTCTCTTATCACTTGTTTTATGGATTTTCATTTCTGGTGTTAAAGTTTACAATCCACATGTTCTAAGTATCAAGAGGAAAATATAAAACATACCCTGGTATCAGAATTAAAACATACCCAGATATCAGAATTAAAACCTACCCTGGTATCAGAATTAAAACCTACCCTGGTATCAGAATTAAAACATACCCTGGTTTCAGAATTAAAACCTACCTTGGTATCAGATATAAACATACCCTGGTATCAGAATTAAAACCTACCCTGGTATCAGAATTAAAACCTACCCTGGTATCAGAATTAAAACATACCCTGGTATCAGAATTAAAACATACCCTGGTATCAGAATTAAAACATACCCTGGTATCAGAATTAAAACATACCCTGGTATCAGAATTAAAACATACCCTGGTATCAGAATTAAAACATACCCTGGTATCAGAATTAAAACATACCCTGGTATCAGAATTAAAACATACCCTGGTATCAGAATTAAAACATACCCTGGTATCAGAATTAAAACATACCCTGGTATCAGAATTAAAACATACCCTGGTATCAGAATTAAAACATACCCTGGTATCAGAATTAAAACATACCCTGGTATCAGAATTAAAACATACCCTGGTATCAGAATTAAAACATACCCTGGTATCAGAATTAAAACATACCCTGGTATCAGAATTAAAACATACCCTGGTATCAGAATTAAAACATACCCTGGTATCAGAATTAAAACATACCCTGGTATCAGAATTAAAACATACCCTGGTATCAGAATTAAAACATACCCTGGTATCAGAATTAAAACATACCCTGGTATCAGAATTAAAACATACCCTGGTATCAGAATTAAAACATACCCTGGTATCAGAATTAAAACATACCCTGGTATCAGAATTAAAACATACCCTGGTATCAGAATTAAAACATACCCTGGTATCAGAATTAAAACATACCCTGGTATCAGAATTAAAACATACCCTGGTATCAGAATTAAAACATACCCTGGTATCAGAATTAAAACATACCCTGGTATCAGAATTAAAACATACCCTGGTATCAGAATTAAAACATACCCTGGTATCAGAATTAAAACATACCCTGGTATCAGAATTAAAACATACCCTGGTATCAGAATTAAAACATACCCTGGTATCAGAATTAAAACATACCCTGGTATCAGAATTAAAACCTACCCTGGTATCAGAATTAAAACATACCCTGGTATCAGAATTAAAACCTACCCTGGTATCAGAATTAAAACATACCCTGGTATCAGAATTAAAACATACCCTGGTATCAGAATTAAAACATACCCTGGTATCAGAATTAAAACATACCCTGGTATCAGAATTAAAACATACCCTGGTATCAGAATTAAAACATACCCTGGTATCAGAATTAAAACATACCCTGGTATCAGAATTAAAACATACCCTGGTATCAGAATTAAAACATACCCTGGTATCAGAATTAAAACATACCCTGGTATCAGAATTAAAACATACCCTGGTATCAGAATTAAAACATATCCTGGTATCAGAATTAAAACATACCCTGGTATCAGATATAAAACATACCCTGGTATCAAAATTAAAACCTACCCTGGTATCAGAATTAAAACATACCCTGGTATCAGAATTAAAACCTACCCTGGTATCAGAATTAAAACATACCCTGGTATCAGATATAAAACATACCCTGGTATCAGAATTAAAACATACCCTGGTATCAGAAATAAAACATACCCTGGTATCAGAATTAAAACATACCCTGGTATCAGAAATTAGGCAAGGCAATGGGTTTTATATTAGCTAGCTCAGAACTGTAAAAAAAAAAAAAAAAAAAAACTTATTTTCACTGCAATCATGATTTAACCTAATAAAATGTTTTATTATAATAATTTTAACATGCAGCAATAAAAGTGCGCCGTTGGAATTCTCTCGTAAACAAACCTCATGAGCAGACATTATATATAAGTATGGTCGTCAAAACAAACGAGTGGGAACCGAAAAAAAGGAGTCCTGGAAGAAAATTAAATATAGTAGTGTAGTATTAAATGCTTCCTTCTGTAGAAGAGAAATTTTATCAATATAGTCGGAAAAAGAAACCAATACTGTCAAAAAACCGAACAAATCCAGGTACAAAACTAACATGTTGGTGGAGAATAACCAACCAATCCAGGAACAGAAGTAATGAATATTATACCAAAAATAATTTACCAAAGCTGGTTTTAAACTAGTGTAATATGTACATCACAAGTTTATAAAGTAGAAGTTTATAGGGCCTAGTAAAACTATGTGTCCATGAGAGCTAATAAAATGACTGTATACCGGTACATTTCTACCAAGAACATTTTTAAAGCACAATTAGAACAGTATACATTTTTTATAAAAAAAACAGGAATTCGTGTGAGGTATTAAAATTTTTGTTGATATAAAATTTGAATTTGTGATTCATAGGAAGAGGTGAGTCATGGTAGCTAAAACCACACAACGGATCAAGAGGAGTGTGTTGGGTCCTGATTTATTTACATGTCAAACTGCAATCTTTTACAAGATCTGACTTCAATCCTAATGTAGGGCACTCACTGTGGCAAGAAGAATTAATTTTGTATAAAACAGTCTCCTTGTGTAAAATGTATTTCACAACATTTCCTGTTAACATATGTATGATTGTATATATAACAAGTCTTTCTTATAAAAGTTGTAGCACATTCGGAGGGGAGATACTTTTCAAGTCTTTCTTATAAAAGGTGTAGCACATTGGGAGGGGAGGTACTTTTCAAGTCTTTCTTATAAAAGGTGTAGCACATTGGGAGGGGAGGTACTTTTCAAGTCTTTCTTATAAAAGTTGTAGCACATAGGGAGGGGAGGTACTTTTCAAGTCTTTCTTATAAAAGGTATACCACATAGGGAGGGGAGGTACTTTTCAAGTCTTTCTTATAAAAGGTGTAGCACATTGGGAGGGGAGGTACTTTTCAAATCTTTCTTATAAAAGGTGTAGCACATTGGGAGGGGAGGTACTTTCAGTCTTTCTTTTTCTTATAAAAGGTGTAGCACATTGGGAGGGGAGGTACTTTTCATTATGCGTACAACTCTGTCATTATGTTTTTTTTTGGGGGGGGTTTTGAAGAAACAAAATGAATACAGCATTATAACTGATATGCAAAACCAATAATTTAAATGTTATCATTTCATAGGCAGCAAATTTAGGGCAATACTCCTTATTTAAAGTCTTTTGAAGTGTGGAAGGCACTGGCTTCCTATTTGACTTTAGTCAGACTTCATTTGATCACTAGGATACATTTTAGATACAAGTCAATTTTTAAGTGACTTTAATTATTACGAGTTCTTTGTTATGTGATCAGGGCTAGGTGAATAATGACAAAACTTTGACAGATATAACCAAGGTATCATGAAGTTACAGTATCATGTACTTCACTATTTTATATATCATTATATACTGTAATATCAGTTTTATATCAAGGACGTTCTGTCACCGTTATCAACACCTCAGGCCACCAGCTAAACAAAATTTAAATCAGGTGTCAGAGTGATAAGTAATATTTTATCAGTTTCTGTTGTAAAAGTAACCTTTAGCTTCGGTCACCTGTCACAGTGTTTATGTGTTTCATGAACTATTGAACTGAAAGGTCATTAAATAAGTTTGTGTCCTGTCTAATTTAGCTTAAGGTATATGTATATGCCCAGGCCTATAAGTAAACCCACATCTACCCAGATTGCTATTTTTGTTAGCATGCTTAATTTAATCAGTGGTATTACACATAACAACAAGGACAACAAAACAATCATTCTAAGGTGATATAGAAAATCTATGGCAACACATATTATTATCGATAAAATATATCAAAGCAAGTTTCTTGGAGATAAAAATGTCATTTGAAAGATATTTAGGATGTTCATGCTAATATAGCATACACTGATTAACTTATAATAGTACACAATAAATAGCATTGTCAAACAATTGTAATCTCAGGGTTTTAGTATGACATGATGTTTCATTGCAGCAAGTTATGTTCTTCACATGAAAATAATAAAAGTAATAAACTCCATTTATTAAGGATAAAACGCATGTTTATTCAAAGGAAAAGCTTTTACGCTGACCTCTTCTCGGTAAAATACACCCATTTTACACATTCACACAACATATATATATAAAGTGATATCCCAGGTATCTTTTAATTAGTTCAGAAGGTTACAGAATTAAGGCATGAATTTTCATGCAAACCTATTTTGTCCATCCTGTCTAATAAACATTTACATACATTCTTATAAAATAAATAGTAAACAATAAACATATCATGATGCTAATATAGCATAATCTAAAACAGAGTGATTTAATTAGGATAAGAAATCTACTTAAAAAGTACCAGATTCAGGTTACAACAGAAAACAATGACATCCTAAGACGGGTCCAATAGGCAGCGATGACTTAAATACTTTTGTGTTTAAAGTAAGAAAACAGTCCTGAATGTTTCCTCTGAGTTTAGTGGCAAGATTTAACAGTGTGAAATAGAAAACAATTCTGAGTAAATATAATTAGTCTGTGTTAAATCATAATATTATCATGTCAAGAACTAGATGCGTCATGATATTTGCACCAATATAAATACATATTTTGACTTGATTCATTTCAGATACAGTTAGGAGATTACACAGAACCACCAGATCGGAAAACAAGCGCTGTTGGAGGGATCCGACGTCCAAAACCGGAGGAATATTCTGATCCATATGATACCGACAAACTACTGCAGGGTAAGTGCTTTCTGTACATATTAGTATGCATACAAATGTACATAAGAAACCTGACTTCATCGACACCAGACTTTTTAAGTCCTCATAGAGATATACATATACTGCGAAACCTGGCTTTACTGACACCCGACTTTTAAAGGTTGTATAAAATAAACTGCAAAACCTGGCTTTACTGACACCTGACTATAGATCTGTAAAAAATATACAGCAAAACCTGGCTTTACTGACACCTGACTATAGGTCTGTGTAAAAGATACTGTGAAACCTAACTATTTTTCACTAGAGAAGTTCAAATGAAGACCTCCATTTCAGGTTGCAGGTAGATTTAAATTTCAACTGCTAATATCATTTTATAAAAGTGTTTAAGAATTTAACTGGTTAAAGATTAGCTTAGAACTGAAAAGTGTCTATTCAGTAATTAAGCTTTTTAGCCCAATTAACAGTTTGTATGAAAGAAAAAACATGGGCAGCTAAATATAACTATTCTTCCTTTGTGCTTGTCTGAATTTATATTACATGTAGTAAATACGACCTTACACCTGGCACCTGCTGTATAACAAATACAGAATCCTCCTCAACCCCCTAACCCCCTCTCTTAACGATCCTCATAGTGTGTCGAGCATATAACTAATACAGAATCCTCCTCAGCCCCTAACCCCCACTCTTAACGATCCACACAGTGTGTAGAGCATCACTTTACTAGTATTAATTAGCGATTAGACTTGGAGTGTTACGCTAATGAGGTATTGTGTACAGGCAGTTTTTGTTTTACAAAGAAACACAGGGATGAAGTGGTACACACATTATCTGGAGTACCCCGTCTGGAGTACATGTTACTTGTTATTTATGTATAGGCAGGCAAATCCAATTACAACTCGTACAATTTCCTTCAGACTTCATCCGCAGCACTACCAGATCCTTATAAGCATGCTAATCTGTGTAAGAAAGAATCTGTCCTGCTTTGTCTGGTCGACGAATCTTACTGTCATCAAAATTGGAAATAAACATATTCAAGCATATAGTGCACTTGCCCTAAATTATAAGTGCACTTCAAAAATAGTTTATAGAAAAGCAGAATTCATGCATATTTATATACTGAGGTGGCCTGTACTTCCTCAATCAGTTCTGTTTGGTCGAAATACATGTAATTACAGACAATAACTTAACTTCCCTACAGGACAAATTAAGTCAATCTGGATATTAGATATTTGCCTGCATAATGGTAGCCTCCTACGGCTATTGATTTCAAAGATGAGCAGACTTTATGCATATTTGATGATAGTTACGCCACTTCCTCTGTTGTTTGTCATTTTTCGAGACCAAACATTTTCTTTTGATGTACCTGTTTCAGCTAAATTTGGTGTACGATTATAAACGTCAGTTTCCAGGCCATTTTCGTTTTAGCTCTAAGCTGAGTAGCACTTTTGGGTGTATAAATATATATAATGAGATTGCATATATTCCTCAGTTCTAATAAGTAGATATTTCTGCACATAAGGAGATGTTGTTACATTCATGACCACCACCATCAGTCACAGTGGGGGACATTAATTCTACAAAATATTGTTTGTTATTTCTTCATTGAAAATGAAAGCATAAACATTATATTTTCACAATGAAGATTGATTAATTTGCTGTGATACTGTAAGTTACAATTTGATTACTGTCCCTTTTTTCATGTAGAAAACTTCAAATTAATGTTCTAATTAATTGGTGAGTAATTAATTGGTGACAATGTATACGGTAGGTGATTAGTTTTTACACAGTGTTTATTAATGAATCATCGGCTATATTGTACTTTGTACAGGATGATTTAACCTTTACCAACCCACCTATCCTTGATCACCAGGGTTTGTTGTAAACATCAATATATAGTACAAGGCATGAGGTACATACGAGACCTCTGATGCGAGGGTGTAGTATACTTGGATCGTGAGGTTAAGAGGTTTGAAGTGTTTTAGGAGATCACATGTCTACTATAAGTTCCGCAGCTCTTTAATTCGTGACAAATTCAATAATCTTTGTTATATCAAACTTCATTGTTTGTCATTCTTTTTTGTCCTCGTATTGTTTATACGGGTTGATATATCAACCTGAATAATGAAGCTTCCTACTTATTGACCGGCTGCCATCTTGGTCTCACATGAGGAAGGGCAGCTGAGAGGGAGGGTTAGTCTGGATATCCTTTTGTTGTGTAACTTATTGACGTAAACATATTTATATCAGGATGTGACAGTGCATTGGAGGATGTAAACTTACACGTTTGTAAGTTAAGTCTTTCCGAGCGTAATTTGCGACCCTGATACAGTCACAGCTAACATTTTTCCTGGTGTGACTGACAGTAACATTATGTTACCTGCCTAGAACAACACCAGTCCTCTGTAGGATCCTTTTCACAGGGATAATTCTGGGAGGGGATTTTGAACCATCAACCTAATTTTAATACAAATGGCCTCTCATGCAAATTTGTTTTTGGATCAGTTTGGTACATGTAGTTAAAAATCATTTTGGAAATATATATGACTGAAAAAAATAGTTTGAAATTAACACTTCTATTTAGATAATTAACACTTCTATTTAGATTTATCTGAGCATCATCATGAGCTTTCCTGAATGAGAGTACATACTTGTACAGCTGGGTAGACTCTAGAACAATTATTTAAATGTGCTTCTAGCTTGTTCATAGTATAAACCAGTTGCTCCTCAGTGCTGCTATATAATAAGGACACATATATACATCTACGGATAGGTTTTAGAGAGCCAGAAATTGTGGACACTTTGAGATCATTGGCTTCAGATCACCTTCAGATAAATCATGTGCTAAGGGCAATAACTCTCACTGGCTGTCCAGCATTTCCTTTCGTTGATTCTCGATTGAAGTGCAACTAGGTTAAGCTTCAAGAAACATTTATTAAAGGTACCTCTAAAGTAATCTTAATTAATTATTAGCTCACCTGGTCCGAAGGACCAAGGTGAGCTTATGCCATACCGTTTTGTCCGTCATCCTTCCGTACGTCGTATGTCAACAATTTCTTTAAACAACTTCTTCTTAACAACTGATTAGAATTCAACTAAATTTGACTGGAAGCATCCTTAGGTGGTGGGGATTCAAAATTGTACAAATGGTGGGGCTGACCCCCCAGGGGGCTGAGGGGCGGGGCCAAAAGGGATCAATTTGGCTATATTGCTTTAAGCGACTTCTTCTCTGGAACTAAGAAGTGGATATCAACCATATTTGACTGGAAACAACCCTAGGTGGTGGAGATTCAAAATTGTACAAATGGTAGGGCTGGCTGACCCCCCAGGGGGGCTGAGGGGCGGGGCCAAAAGGGGGCAATTTGGCTATATTGCTACAAACGACTTCTTCTGTAGAACTACATGTATGCACTGGTTATCAATCATATTTGATCAAAAGCATTTATGGGAAGCAGGGATTCAAAATTGTACAAATGGTGTGGCTGACCCCCCAGGGGGCTGAGGGGCGGGGCCAAAAAGGGTTATTTGGCTATACTGCTTTAAGTGACTTCTTCTCTGGAAATAAGCGATGGATATCAACCGTATTTGACAGGAAACATCCCTAGGTGGTGGTGATTCATAATTGTACAAATGGTGGGGCAAACCCCCCGGCTAAGGGGTGGGGCCCAAAAAAGTTTATTACTTAGAAATGGTTGAGATCCCTACCGTATAACCATATATACAATTGCTGAGTATAAAGAGAAGAATGCACATTTGCTTCCAGAATGGCCCAAGGGGTTGGCCCCACCCTTGGAGACATAGTCCCTGGGTCATAACTTTGAAATGGTTGAGATCCCCACCCCAAAACTATATATACAAATGATGGACATAAAGAGACGAATGTAGTCATGATATTAGAATAGACCCTGGGGTCTGACCAAACCCCTAGGGACCTAGTTTCTTAGTTACAGCTTGGAAACAGTTGAGATCCCCTTCCTATAACCATATATACAATTGCTGAGTATAAAGAGATGAATGTACATATGCTTCCAGGATGGCCTTGGGGTCTGCCCCACCCTTGGAGACTTAACCCCTGGGTCATAGCTTTGAAATGGTTAAGATCTCAACCCCAAAACTATATATACAACTGTTAGGCATAAAGAGAGGAATGCAGTCATGATATTAGAATTGATCCTGGGGTCTGGCCACAACCCTAGGGACCAATTTTCTGAGTCACAGCTTGGAATCAGTTGAGATCCCCACCCCATGACCATACATTAAAATGCTGGGCATGAAAAATCTAATACAGATATATGCTACAAGGATTGGCCTTGCATGGGGTCTAGCATATTCCCTTGGATCTCATTTGGAGAATATTTTGCCATGATTGATGAGATATCCAGGTGAGTGATACAGGCCGTCTGGGCCTCTTGTTCTACAACATGTTCAGTGTAAGTTTATTGACACACAGATCCCTGTACCACATCCAAACTGTAACTACAAATGGGAAACTGTGGACAAAAGGTTTAATATAAAATTTGTAAAAATCTACCGATACATTCCTTGCAAAAGTTTTATGACAAAAAATAATAAAAAGGAAATAAACAAAAAAATTAATCAACAACAGTTTTTCTATGAGTAAACCTGTAGACTTACACAAGTTCCAGTACATCTAGTGCCTTAACTGGAAGACTAACACAAGCTCCAGGTATTTAACCAAACAGATTAAATTGAAATAAAGGATTGAATATTGATTTGATCACTCTCATAATACATTGGGTAATGAGTTGAGTTTTGCGACAAGTTAATCATGACTGCTTCACAGTTCATAATGTATATATACATGTTTTTGTATTTGTCTTAAGACTAAATCAATTCATCACCCTGAGATTAACAGAGGCATGTTCAGTCTAATATATTGTAGAAATCTTTATGTGTAAGGTCCATGTCAATATATGTCTATGAACACAAGATACACAATTTTAATGTAGCTGACAACATTTTTCAAGGAATTGAGATTTTTTTCTACATTGTTGTAAAATTTATCAAAAAAAAACCAAAAACTGTGCAATAGTTGTGGATATTTCATTTTGTTGCTGTGATGATCTAGACTACTTCCTACATTTTCATCATTGATTTTCACGCCATTATGAATCAGAAAACCACAGTTGTAAGGTGATAG